TTTTTAGTATTATTTTTTGTTACAGCTGAAGCTTGAAATTAGGGATCTCAATTTAAAAATGTAAACTCTACCAAAATCTACTTATATATTTTAATTATCAAAATCCTAAGCTAACTATAAAAAAAAAGCTAAAAGATGCACCCCAAAATTTTTTGAAAATTTCATATCAAAGTATTTAAAATTTCAAGCTTCAGCTGTGATATATTTTTTTTTTGTAGCCCCGTAATATTAGATATATGGTCACCGATTTTTAGTATACGTAGAAAGCTGAAAATATATCTTCCAAAATCCAAATGCAATACAATCATACCTGAATAATATCACCCTTTTTTTTTCTAATTTTTTGAAAATATATCTAAGGTGTAATATAGTTTAATATATAAAATATACAAAAAAAGAAAAATTTATTCTGCTCAAATATAAGGATATAACTAAGGTAGAGCATAATAGTGAGATATAACCCAAGTATGACTATATTTAAAATAATACTTTTTTTTAGAAAAGGTCGCTTGATGCTATTTAAACTTGATCTAACTAATTTGATTCTGTATTTTACGTTACTGCTTCTTGCTTCTGAAGAGATTTGAGCAGAATTAGAAAATTTTTTTAGTTTTTTTTTGAAACATTCTGTAATTAAATTTTTAGAAATAGCCTATAACCTTATCTATACTTTCTAGAATTGTTTCTAAAAAAAAAAGGAAAAAGACGACGAAATAAGATAGAAAATAATTTATGTTGATCTGACCTTAAAAAAATCATTTAATACAAGCCATTAAAAAAAAAAAAGAAAAAATGTACATGTACTTTTTGATATTTTCTTCTTTTTTATGTCTATACAAAACGTTTTACTAGCAATTCATATAAACTATACTAGTCAAACTATAGTAATTCACAAATCAGTAATAATTCAGCTATTATGGCTGTTATAAAAGCTATAAAGTTTTACTTCATTCGATTTTTGCATTTATAAAAAAATTTTAGCCAATCAGATTTAGTTTAATTATTTGATTCTAAAAAACCTCAGTAGCGTTGTATATCACAGATTATTTCTATATCAAGAAATACTATATATAGAAATATCCCTAACTATAGTTGCTTCAGTTGTATCACATTATAATAAATGTATCTATAACAATATTAAAACATTAAAAAAAAATTAAAGATATTTATAAATAGCTAAAATTTAAAGAATTATAGTTCTAGAGGCTATTTTCTCAAAATTTTATTAAGATAATCACTAATTTGATTCTATAAAACTAGGGTTATTTTTTTTTTTAACTTGGCAAGAAAGACTGGTGATTCTTTATTAGATATATTTTAGAATACATATATAATTGTTCGAAATATTTTACAACCTATTACTAGGCTATGTTAACCTAACACAGAAACCCGACAACATTACCTGGCTGCTCACATGGGTGCTCAGATATATTCTTGTTGCACTACTAGCACACTATGACCAAGGCCAACACTTGCGGTCAGAGTATCTCCCAACTTTGGAGAAGCATTGTTATTAAACCACTGAGCCGGTGGAGGAGGATCATACCCGTACTGATACTACTCCTGCATCCTAAAACTACTATATCTAGCTAAACCTATATTTCCTGCTTCTACTACCTTGCTTCTATATAACTTCCAAATTGGTAATATTCAGGTTATAGATCTTTATAATTTCCCAGTCTGGTGTATCATATTATTGTTTTCTCTAAGGTATTCTGACATTGGTTCAGAATCTGCAGGAACTCATATCTCAAGCCAAAAACTGCTGCCTAGTTAGGTTCACCACATGACAGTATTGGTATTTCATTATCAGGTAACCTCTACCACTTATCTGCTCAGATACTACTAATCCGTATCTCAAGCCAGTTTCTGCTGCTACAACTCAACCGCAGATGTCCCAGGTCTTAACGTTATACAGTTACTCAGTACTTTCTTTAGTTCCTCTAAGTACTACTTGCTATAGTGAGTTTAGGACATATTTCACAAGCATTTAGAACAATTCTGGTTATACCCAGAGAGTTCACCGACCCTAGTGATGCTATATTACTATATAATACTTGCTCCCAGCATATTGTTATACAATACCAGGACAATTCTGATTATTCCTAGAGAGTTACACCGACCCCAGTGATGCCGTACTACTATTTGTTATTGTAAACCCAGAGGTTGGTAGATTCTAGACTTGTTCGTTATAGACTTCTATATAGGTACGACCGGAGCCTGATTCGGTATCTTTATATGTATACAGAATATCAAACAACCTCCATAGTCTTAGCCTTTTATAGTAATTTTATTCTGCTTTGCCAGAGGTGCTTCTGATTTTGGTAAGGCTAATCTTTTACTACAGACCATCCACATGTTTACCACTTTTCTCACCACTTCCAACTTTGGTTATGATGATTACTCTCCCAAGCAAGTACCTGTATCTTCTTTCCAAATAAGGACTTATTCACATAATCTGTTGACTACTCTTCCAAGCAAGTACCCCACAAGTTGAATATAGAGATATTGGTATTGCCAAACTTGAAGATACAAGGATGTTGGTGCTACCTGTCTCTTAAAGACTTATTCACGCAATCTTCATAGTCGCAGTCTTCTGTAACATCATAGTTATACATAGTGCCAATGCTCTATATTTAGGTTTCCTTCTGGGAATTCCTATTCCAGTTTCATACCTGCACTTGGACTTGGCCACAGGGTTCTATATTCAATTAAAACTAGGGTTATTTTGATTAAAAAAATATTTTTTATTTAATATACAAAATTAATTTATTTAATAAAATTTTAAAAAAATCGAAGATATTTATAAATGGCTAAAATTTAAAAAGTTATAGTTTTAAAAGCTATTTTCTTAAAATTTTATTAAGACAATTGCTAATTTAGTTTTATAAAGCTAGAGCTATTTGATTAGAAAAATATTTTTTATTTAATATACAAAATCAATTTATTTAATAAAATTTTAAAAAAATCAAAGATAATTATAAACAGCTAAAATTTAAAGAGTTATAGTTCTAGAGACTATTTTCTTAAAATTTTATTAAAACAATTGCTAATTTGGTTTTATAAAACTAGTACTATTTTGATTAGAAAACCAAAATTTTTTTTTTTTTCGATATTAAGGTGACCTCTTGGCTGTCACTTTTTATTTAGTTATTAGTTAACCTTTACTATATGATAAGCTACCCTTTCAGAATGGCCTGTACCGTATATATATTTAAAAGGTACATACTAGCCACATGTATAACTTTTGATTGTCTATTTAAGTAGTCTGCTTATTACTAAGTTCTACACTAGATATTATACCTGCAACCTGACTAGAGGTTATCTATTTAAACCTTCTGCACCTATGAGGTTAACCTATTTTAACTAAGCAAGAATCTAGTTTAAACCCTTATTTTCAGATACCCAGCTTAGAACTTTAAGACAGGCTACCTCTATTGAAAGTCCTTTGTTCTCGAGATAAACCTGCTAAAGCTTTCTGTATTCACAATTTGGCTAACCTAGACTTTGGTAACTTACGCCGAGTCTGAGGACAAGTATTTGCAAGCCGAGGCCGCTACTATTATCTACTTCTGCCTTGTAGAGTTCACCCAAATCCCAGTACACACTTTACAGACTATCATCAATTTTAATCCCAACAATCTCAAACTACCAATCCAGATGGCCCAAAAAGGTTGTGATCTGCTTCTGGTCCTTATGGTTGGATCCTTTTTCTCTAGTTACTCTTTTGGCAGCCTGTTAGTAGAGTGTCTTGCCAAACACTTCGGTTCTGTTCAGTTTTGTCAGTTTTCTCGATAACAATCCTTTATATAGTACTGTCGAAGATCTGTACTATCTCTCTGCTCAGGTCTTGCCAAGTGTGTTTTATCGTCCTTTCCGGTTTCAGCATTTACAATGATCCAGAGGCTTATTCGTATAACTTATGCATTACACAAATATTCTATGATCTTCTAATCCTGTGGTGCTACCAAGATTACAGAGATCTTGTTTCAACTATTAATCGAATGGCAATAACATCGTACAGATAGAATTTTTCGAAATTCGTCATCAGTGGGTTTCGAACCCCCTATCTAGCCAACATATTGCTTGGGAGTATGACAACTTAGCCATTTCACTAAGTCACCGCACCCTAGAAAACTTCTTTTTTTTTTTTTTTTGGTGTTCAGGTAGAATTTTGCCCATGACTTTATTTATTATTAATACTTTCATTATATGTATTACTACATTTCGTATTATATCTATCAAGTATACTAAGCTCAGACCTGGATCCTATTAGTAACATACGCTCTAGCCAAAACCATCACTTGCGTGATCAGGTGTCCCTCTTCGCTATTTAGTTATCGATCCTATTATCTGTGATTCAAACCTACCGGAGTGGTACGTCTATAGATAGCACTCACCCGAAATTTTTCTACTCTTCACAAGTCCTACTTCAGTATATTCTATGATTATATTTTCTGCATCACTCATACTACTTATATCTAAGCTCCCAAATTTGGTAATCCTCTAGAAACCCATTTTTTATTTAATATACAAAATTGATTTATTTAATAAATTTTTAAAAAAATCAAAGATTTTTATAAATAGCCTAAACTTTAATTTGATTTGAAGATTTAAAATCAAATAATCAAATTAAATTCAAATCAAGATTTTTAAATCAAATCAAATTCAAATACAGATTTTTAAATTAAATCAAATTTAAATAAGCCTAATATTTGATTTGATTTGATTTTTAGAAACCTTATTATTTAATAGGCTTGTATTTGTAGCATTCGATAATAAACAATAGAACAAAAAAATTATTTTGACCAAGGATCTAATACCATGATATTTCGTATTGTTACCAGTTTTGTTGCATTTAATATAAAGCTACAAAACTATACTCAACATATGAATATATTTTGGATATCTTATTCTTTTAATAAATCATACTATGAAAGCCTATTTAATATTATATTTAAAATACAGAAAGTGATAAACAAAGAATTGTATGCTTATATTTCTAAAATCATTAATTTATTATATTAGAAAAATTATTTACAATTAACAATATCAATTTTCTTATTGACAATCTAAAACTAACTAACTGTTACAACAAACAATATCTTAATTATAAAGAATCAAATATTAAAAATCAAAAACAAGTTTGTTCAAAATATAAAGCTTGTCTATCTACTTTGTCAGAATTGCTGAAACAAAATTCTTGTAAATTAGATAAAGATATAACAGATTAATCAATTATTTTTAAACTTTATGTTGTTGAAAAGAAAGATAGCTTATCTATTATACAAAAAAATTAGTATTATTCAGAAATTAGTTGTTAACCAAGAAGTTAATATTTTAGAACTATTTATATCTAACTTTCTTAATATTAACCTTAATAGTATTATGAATATCAATAAAGTTCTTCTCTATATTAAACAAATAACGGGTTTAGGTCCTGTAGCTTATTGGTTAAGCTTTCAAACTCCACAAACAAGGTTGACGGTTCGAGTCGAGCTGGTAGTAAATTATTTAATTTACTACTATAACCTATTGGAGCCAAAATTGAATACGAAGCCCTATGGAAGTCTATATACAAGTATGATGTTGGATTAGAAATTTCTAGAAGAAGACCCAATTATAGAGTGCAAATGCTACATGTAATAGCAGTATTACAGAAAGTTAAGGTTATTAAAGATCACGCAAGTAAGTTCTTGTAGGCAGGTAGCACCAATATCCTTATACTTCTAGTTTAAGCAACACCAACATCTCTATACCCAACTTGTAGAGAACTTGATTAGGAGAGTGATCATCGGATTGCGTATTTAAGTCCTAAACTGGGATCACAGTACTGGATTTGATTAGGAGAGTGATACAACAATAACTAAAACTAGATTAGTGAGAGAAGCAGTGAACATAAGGACGGTCTGTAGTAAAGAATTGGCCTTATCAAACTTGGAAGCACCTCTGGCATCCTGCATAGAAAAACTAAAATTAAAAGGTTCTAAATATAGAGAGATGGTTCTTATCTAGAAAACATGTAAATGAATTTGAAAAGGCTAGGGTACACCGAGCTGGTAGTACTAAGGTACGAAACAGGTATAATAGTATTGCAAGAATACACCAACTTTAGAATACCAACCAAGTTGAAATACCCAAGTTGAAAGTAATTAAAATATTACAAAACCTCGTTAGAAGTAACTGTTTGGAAACAGTTATACAATATAGCCCATACCTAACCAACTACGGAAGTTTCTGCTTGAAAATAAAAATATAGCATACAAGTACAAATAAACTATTATAAGAGCTGCAAAAGCTAGTACCTTGAAGAAAAATAAAAGTCTAGAAGGGGTGTTAGCAGATAAAGACAAAAAGATATAAGGAAAATGATGAAGTCCAGTATCTGAAAGAAACACTAACAATGCCAACTACCAAATTAGGAAGTAACCCTATTACAAAGCCTTAGTTGTAATACCTATTTGAAAGTATATTTGTGGCTTATATGAGTAATATAGAGAATATATATAGAATACTAATAAGGATAGTTTAGAAGTGCAAAAATCTTGGTTAGGCCTAAAACAGGTTAGATCTTATTAGATAAAGTTTAGATCGCATATAAAGTAGTCTAAACCCCTATAATATAGTTGTTTCAGTTGTATCACATTGTAATAAATATACCTATAACAATATTAATAAAGTTACAGAGGTATGACCTCACTTTAAAAAAAAAATAAAAAAAATATTAAACAAATAACAAAAATTAAAAATAAGATTTATAAATAGATAGCTATAATATGTGATAATATTCTATATCATTATATAACTAAAGTAAAAACTAAATATCTGTGATTTGTTTTCGTTTCTAAGCAATTGTATCTTTTAGATTATAATAGAACACAGATAAATTTGTCTGTATTTTTATACTTTTTAGCTCTGATTTACTTTTTTTAAAACCAAAATAATTAAATAAAACTTTGCACAATTATATTTGAAAATAAGTATTATTTTTTTGTAATATTTATTTTTAGATTATAAAAAAAAAAATTATAGGTTATTTATAAACCAAAAGTATACAATTTTAAAAATAATTTTTTTAAAAAAATTTTTAGTTTATCTATAACAAACTTTTTAAATATTAATTTTAGACCTATAGTTTATAATACAACTTTATAGTTTAAATAAAGGATTATAATTTTTTTTTTCCATTATTAGCAGCCTCACCAGTATCTTTATTAAATCAAAGCTAATATAATACATTATATACTATCTAAATTACAGATCTGAATATCACTTGGCTTCTTCTAGGGGCACCCAAATACAGTTTGCCTCACCAGTTAAGGCTATTGCCTGTATTGGAGGGCTGAACCAAGCTAGCTAGTAAAACTATAGCAAGATGATTTCAGATCGAAAGAATTTTCAAATACATCTAATTGACAATTTTCTCTTTCTAAACTATCCTCCTTATTATGAATATTTTCTAAATCTAATTTTCTAATAATAAACAATTCTATTACATCTCTAAATGAAGGGTTATTGCCAGAATTCTTTTATTTATATTTGTATTTCCTTTTTTCTTTTTCTAATTTATTCTGTCTTTTCTGATTAAGAACCCGGCTCTCCGAAGGCTTCTTGTATTCTTCTCTTTAGAGCTTTCTTTTTGTTTCGTATCTTCATATTTCTTTTCTACTTCCTGAGAGCTTGCTCCAAAGGTCTTCTCTGGGAATATTCTTCTGTAAGCCTTCTTTTCTTCAAAATATATCGGGCTCTCCTTTGGTCTTTCTATTTCTGAATCTTGGATAGTCTACTTAAATTTTTTTTTTGTGTTCTGGGTATAGAAATTGTTTTTATTTTTTTCTTTTGCCTTTTTCTTTTCTTTTTTTCTCTTGAGTCTTGGTTTTCTTTCCTGAAACTTCTCTTATATTTCGCTAAAAATCTCTTTATTCTCGAAGACTTTCACAAAAATTTTTTTAATAAACCCAATAATATATTTTTTTCTTTTTCTTCTTTTTCTAATTCTTGTCTCCTTTTGATTTATATATTGATGTATTTTAAATCACCCTTGCATTGATGATTCTTTGGGACTTTAGACACTGCATCTATTTTACGAGTAGGTTATTCTCTTTCTTCTTCCACTTTTTGTTATTGGTTTGTGGATCTTTGATACATATTTGATATATCACTTCAATTAGCCATTCTGTTGAAGTTGTTAGTTCAGTTCTTGATCTTGATTTTGCTTTACTTTTTTTTTGGTTTTCTATATTCTGCTCTTTGGAATCTTGTTTATGTATCTCTTTCTCTTTAATAATTTTTTGCTGATGTTGTTTCATAGCTTCATCTTTTTGCTGAGATTGTGTTTGCCACTCTTCTATTTTGATTGTTTCTTTTTTTAAGAATTGATTTATTTTAAACACTCTGATAGAAGTTGAAAAATGATATGCTAATAACTTGAGTGTTGTTTTGTTTTGCTGCTTCTGTTTTTTTTCTTTAGTTCTTCTAGGCCTTTGCACCAACCTAGCTCTAATTTAAGTTTTATACAGTTGGTAGCTTGTTTTTCCCTCTTGTGATATCTTTTTTCTGCGATTTTAGCTCTTTTTAAAACTTGTATTCTTCTTTTTCTTCTTTGACTCTTTGTTTTTCTTTATGTTGTTTTTCTGTAATAGATTGAATAGATTGCTTGAATTGTTGTGCTAACAAGATTAATGTTGATTTGTTTTGCTATTTTCATCAAATTCTTTTTTGCTTTTTGAGTTTCTTGCTCTAGCCAGAATTAATTTTTAACCTTATCTTAGCAGCTTGTTTACTTTCTAACTTTTTTATTTTAGCAGCCTGTTTTCTTTCAATCTCTTCTATATCTCTTATTGCATTAGCTATTCTTAAATCTGTTAGAATGTTCTTTATTTCCCTATATATAATATATTCAACTAGTCTTTTCTTTTTTTCATTGCTCTAGAAAACCACAGCAGTCTCTTGTTTCAAGTTCAAGTCCTGTATATTGACTAATACCTTTATTGTATTGTCATCTTTCTTCGTGCAGAGCCCTTATTTGTATTCTTGCTTCTTCTTCTGTAATAAGTTCTGTTTTAGCAAATTCTGTTTTAAATTGTTTAATTGCAAGATCTATGTTGAATTCTTCATCCTCTCTATTGTATGCTCTTAATATTGCTTTAACTTCTTTTGGCATCTATTTATGTTTTTCAGAATTTTCTATTACTGGTGCTTCCACATGACTTGTTGTTTTTTTATTGTTGTTAAGTGTTGTTGTTATTTGTTGTATTCGTTTGTTGTTTTTGTTTATATTTGTCATGTGGGTTTTTTTATATTTCATTTGTTTACTCTTTATTACGTGTTGTAATTTTTGTATTACCAAAACAGATCTGCGATTCAGGATCAAGGCTGATTCCCCAAAATTTCACAATATACAAAAAAATACTAACAATTTTTCATGACTTCTTCTATTTCTTTGCCACTTCTGTTTCTTTTACTCAAGT